AAAAAAAACTTGCTTACTAATGGTGGTAAAAAGTTCAACATTTTCACACAGAAAACAAACTTACGATCTCACTATGCAGCATTTAAAAATCATTGTCATGACCATAAAACAGTTCACCGTCCGAAACTCTAGCAAAAAAAACTAAGACATCTTATCTACAGCTATTAAACTTTTCAAAAATATAGAAGTAGCGTTTCAGAAACGCACCATTTAATGACAAGATTATCGCATGTATAAGCCCGTATCATCTACCTTAATTGCACAAAAAACTTCTGGACTACCAATAGCGAAACGGCAAACCCGATTTAAAATCAGGATAGCTTTCGCCACTGTCTAAACAAATGATTCAAGAATCAGTTGACTGCTGTTTCCTCTTTCGCTTCAACTTCGCATTTCTGACATCCTCAATTACAGACTGAAATCCATCTTAATTAAAATTAGAGAAGTGCTTTTATACTCCGCAGAACAGAAGTGGTATAAAATATTGTTTGATTTCAGAACAAAATTATCTAAAACAAAAATTGTGTTCACCGCCACAGTCTTTGCCAAAGTCCCAGCATCCTCTCCAGCAGCATCCAAACCGGTGAAATCTTCATCTTCGTGATTAGGATGTAAGGTTGACATATGCCTTTGCATATGGAACTTTTTGCTGAACAAGTGACCGCATACAGAACATATGAAGCGTTTCTCACCAGTGTGCATCTTTTCGTGCATTTGTCTTGCAGATGCAGAAACAAAAGATCGTCCACAATCCCAAGTACATAAATAAGGTCGTTCGCCTAATCGAAAACTAACTGTATACAACAAGAAACAAAAATAAACAGATAAATAAGGATTCAAAAAGTAAGTTCGTTAAGTGTTTCTCGTCAAAAAGAAGTTCACAAAAACTGAAAGACCGGGTTACCTGTATGAAGACGCAAATGGCATTTCAGAGCTCCTTTCTGGGAGAAAGATGCGCCGCATTCAGGACAACTATGTGGTTTTTCTTTCGTATGCGACCTCCGATGTTCAGCAATTTTGGAAGGATACTTCAATACCTTACCGCAGTCTTCGCACTGGTGAATAGTTGCACGCCTACGAGACTTAGAGATTGGTTTCACTACTACTCTGTTCGAGTGTTCTTGAACTTGGGTAGGCATACGGGGTAGTACGTTCTGGAAATATATAAAATCAAAGATCATGCAACTATCTATAACTGCCAAGCTAATATAAAAACTTCCAGAGAAAGCATATGAACAACTTTAGTGAAATAGACCAAAAGGAACCTCTTGAAAACTGTCCTCTTCAGTGATCAGATTCTGAGCATCCAACTGGTTTCCATCCTCGTCAACAAATTGTATCCCATAACTCCCATCTTCATAGACCCCGTAAGCATTTTGAGCGATGTAAACATCGCCAACACAACCCTCTTCTACCGCAACTACACCGCTTTGCTTACGCTGCCGAATATCCTACAGAAGATAATGACATATTGCATATGACGCTAGAACAACGTGTCATGCAAACGCTGTAGTCAGTTACTAACGCTTTTTGCTCGCTTTACCAAACGAATTTCAAAAAAGCAGTAACATTTACCTTTTTTTGCTATAAAAGTCAAAATTATTACCTCGTTAACAATTTCTTCTTTTACTACGTTTCCATTGAACTCGCTAACCGCCAGTGTCTCATAAGGGGTTTCAATAGCTATGGTACTCCCGATTTCCGTCTTAAAATACTGATATTTTAGCGTGTACTACCTATCATTTCAAAAAGTATAATTCTGGAAGAATTAAGCAAGTAAGCAAGTACCGGCATAATGTGGTGAACTTGATTCTGTTCGATTACGGGTATCTGTCCCAACGACTCGTCATCGCCATTGGGTAATGCAACACTATCGTAAATATTTTCTTCCATTGGGAATAACAAAGATTGTGCAATCATCTCTCTCAAACGCATTTCGTTTGCTATAGACCTCTTGAACAGAACGGGCTGTAAAACAGGAGATTTGGGAAGTAAGGAATTAACTGTTGGCAAACCGGAAAGAAAACCTAAATTAAATGAAATGAAAACAACCTCATTTCGACCATGCATTTGCTCGAAATGCAAGCATAGTGCTTTAGAGCTTAAGGAAGGATACCCACACAACGCACATCTATACGGAAATTCACGTAAATGGCAGTTCCACAAATGAGCCTCTAATTTCTCCAAGGATTCTTCAAAAACTTTAATAAGCAATAAGCTCGCTAGCAAAATTTTATAAAAACTGCTTAAGACAAGTATGTTTGTGTAACGTAACATGTAAGAAGTAAAAATTCAGACTAATTAATCGTCTTATACCAAAAGTTATACCTTTACACTCATTACATACTGAACACCGAAAAACTATTCGATATTCCGCTCTAAACGCCTCTTCAACCATCATGTCGCTCAACACCTCTACATTCAGAGCATTTACAGATCATTCAACTCCCTGAAAACCCAATACAACTGGTAAACCATCCAAACTACCAACGAAAAAAGTTCAATATGAGCAGTTGAAGCATTATGAAATGCAAAGCTGCTAAAAGTCAAAATTTTACAAAAATAAAGAATAAATAAATAAAGAATAAAAAGAGTATGAAAAAAAGATGAAAATGAGGAACAGCCAAAATAAAAAATAACAAAAAAGTATTGCTATCAATAAATAACAAACAGTTTTTTTCCTTAAAAATGTAATGTAACCGTTCAAAAGAAAAAAAAAAAAGTCAAAATCTACCAAACCTTTATGTCTAATTTTCAGCAGTTACTAATATCCTACCGCTGCAATTAGCATTTCAGTGTAAACCTCATGAACTGTACAATGTATACTAGAGAAGCTGAGCAATACTTAACCGCACATTTCAGTCACTAAAAAACAGGCATATAAGTGCAGTAGCACCTATACTGGACAGATAAACCTGCGGTACAAACTTTTTTTTATTCATACACTATTTAATAGGCAGCTGTGTGGATAGGTATGAGCCAAAAATATATATTTGGCTGTTAAAAGACATTTTATTTAGCGCAGCATAAAAAATGGCTTATTTCCAAATAAAAAAAATTACCATTATTTTGGGAGGAGCTTAAACCACCCTTTATCCTGGTCCGATGACGTTGATACATTTTGGACATCCCGTCTTAACGTCTCCTTTTGTGTGTCGATTTAAAAATGGCATGACCGGTAGGTTGGGAGGGAAGTGGGTGGAGAAACTGAAAGGGTTTGGTTGGGAAGGGACAATTCAGATAAAAACATTAACCATAATGACCTTGTCCTTGATAGCTTTAAATTATATTGAAAGTTTCTGAATGTTTTCCACCAGATTTGGGAAATACTTTAGAGTTACCTTAAAAATTGGTTAGAGGATGATTTTCTGTTCTTGAAAAAGAGCCTTTGAGCTACACTAAGTCAAAGCTGTATGAAAATGGTGTTTGTACGGCTGGTTTAACGTTTCATTCAACAAACCGATGATATGTGATAAAAATAGATATTGCAGTGTTTTTACATTTTTTGCAAAATTTTTTTGCTTTTTAACGTTCTTTTTGCTAAGACTGCAAGAAGAAAATTGCACTTCTTAAAAGGCCTAGATCAGTGCCGCTGCAATATGAAAAAATGTACTTGGTTCAGTAAACTGAAAACTTTTGTAATAATGGGATAAAAAGTTTAGCAAAGTTACTAGCCTCAACCTGTGTTTCAGAGAAGGAAACATTGGTAACGTTGATTTGAAAAGTTAATGAAGATAAAAAAAAAAAAGGGAAGCAGGGGACAGAAGAACGTATTGCCCTTCTATTTTCTACGTTTCAAAGCAGTCGAAGAAGTGGAGTGGGCAGTCACTGGTCTCAGTTCTCCTGGAAAAGTTTTATTAAACAAAATATGCTGAGAAAGTCAGTTAGGTGGCTCGCATTGAAGGTTCCATTTGTATCAGTCAGCTTTCGTAAAGTAATCTATCGCTGCTGCACAATTTCTTTTTTTTTATAGCAGAAATTTACAGTTTTGTAAAAGATACCCTTAATCTGTTTTAAGCTTCTTATAAGGAAGTGAGTGGCGTACGAAAGAATAATAAAATGAAATTTTCTCAGTGCAAGATACAGTTTTTTGTCTTTAAGGCACCTCATAACAAGTCATGTCCACCATTTACTTCTCCACGTTCTTTGATCGTTTTTTTTTTTCTTGAAACAAAAATTTTCTTGAGATAGTTCTAGCATAATAGTTTGCTAAGTGTCAACCAAATGTCTTCAGTCAGCTTGTAGGCACATAGATGTTAGATCATAGTTTCATAAAGGCATGATTCTACAGTAGAGAATAAAAAATAACAGCGAATTGTACTTTTCTGTGTACTTTATACCTATTCTTAATTTGTTGTCTTCGCAGTAAATTTTTAAAATTACTTTTTTTCGTGGGTCAGTAACCTTTTTGAAGAAAATGGGCATAAAATAAGAAAGTTCAAACAAGGCTCAAAGATAACAATTTGCTAATCGGATAGTAAAACTAAACGATATAAAATGTTAATGAGACTTTCGTCTTTGATGTACTTTTCAGCTCGACTGCCAAACTTCAGAAATCTTCAAAAAAAAAAACTACTTTTTAGAACGCCTTTCATATAGTCGTCTGAGCCGTCAACTTCGCGACACACAAGAGTCTACTGATGCACAAACGTTTATTGTCGGGTGTGTTACTTGATGGCATCGAAGAAGGTACCACTAATCATTTAAAACGTCATTCGAAAAAGTGCAAAAAATATTTGAAAATTATTTTAAACAAATTCAAACTTTTCTTCAATTGTAGTTTAACGCATATGCTTTTCTGCACCTCCTTCTACCTACTTTTCTTACACTAAAAATTACAATTGCACAAAATAATTTATTTTAAGAAAGTCTAAAAATAGATTCCTTGTCATCAACTCTTCTATTTTAAATTCTAATTTAAATCTTGAAAAACTTTTGAAAATTTAAAGGTTTTTGAAGTATTCTTTTTTCACTTTTATGTCCCCAAAGATATGGCTCTCAGCAATGAATCTATCAGGTTTACCTACTAACTTCTAAACAAAACTGTATACAATTGAGCTTTTTGAAAGTCCCATTAGTGGTAAAAACTCCTCTTATTCATCGCAGCGGTTCTGAAAAGAAAATGATTTTTTAAGCTAGTAGAAATGTAAACTGATGAAGGCAAAACTGCGGACCTCATGTAATTAATTTTTTGTTTTCATTTTTCAATTAGCTCTACTTTTGTTCAAGATGTCTTGCGGAAAGAAAAACGTGGTTGGGAACATAAGAAGATTGAAGTTGCAGACCCTTTTATATAAAAAACTCTGCCTCTGCTTGAAAATACAGGTGCAATATTAATTATGGTTTTGATCATTTTGAAAGCCAAAAAATGTAGAATAAAATCACAATTACCTAGTTACTGCAAAGAGATATGAGAACATATAGTTCATAAAAACTGCAAACTTTGGCCAGATTTATTTAGTTTTCATCCTCAGATGACTCTGGAATTGTATGACTTGAAGATGACCTTTCAGCAGAAGCAAAAATTTTTACAATATTTGAACTAAAGAAAAAAGTGATTACACAGAATACTAAAGCAGCAAGTAACGGTATCAATGCTGGTTCTTCATAGTAATCTTTTAACTTTCTCGCATCGTTTTGTTGATTATTCTTCCTAAAGAAAATGCTGATATTTTTCCAAAAGTTGTAGTAACGTCCACCGTATTCATCTGGATACTTTAAACTTCTTCCTTTGTCAGACCCATAATAATCAATTCTCCAGTAGTTCATTCTATTGGTGTCTAATCGTTGCCAGTCTTCAGATGGGCGGCTAAGATGACAACAGAAACAGATAATGACAGATATTTGACATGAATTAGAAATGAAAGTATTAAAAATTTTGAGAACAGTTACCCGTATTTCGCAAAATGAGTAAATTCGCTAGCTATCTCTTGAGCAACTTGTTGTTCCTGCGTACTCCATCTTTTCGAGGCTTCTTCACCGACCCATGCATAATCAGGCTGCATAAGAAGAAAGAGATCAATGCCGTGGAAGGCAGCTATAAAATTAATTTTATTAAATTAGAGAAAAAGTGAAGCAAAGCATTGTTTTGATGGGCTGTATTACTAACGTTTGTAATTTTCAATCCTGTAAAAGGAATAATAATCGGTGTGGAAGTTAACTTGCCATAACCAAACATTTTTTGAGCCTTGTTTAACATGCATTTCTGCTTCATTTCCGACTGCTTGAATGTAAATTAGATCTGATAAGACCTAAAAATAAATTCCTAACAGCTTACTGATTTAAACAGGCCGTAATAATAAGTAGTGGCTCTATATATACCATTTCTGTCTTTGACAAGGATAACAAATTCTTTCTAACCCAAGAAGTATAAGTTAGTGTAAAAAACGTTAATAGAGTGGGTATAGAAGATTAAAGAAAATTAAGTTTTCAAATAATTTTCAACACATTTTGGCAAATACCAACAAGTTTTAGAAGGCGGAACAGGTCAGTTGTTGTCAAATTAAAAATGAGTAACAGAGCTGAGCAATTTCTACCCGTATCACGTATTTCATATGAACTAAACTATCATTCTCTATTCGTGGTACACCATATTCACGTTTAACTTCCGCCATAATTGCTTCAACACTTTGGTTACCATAAATTTTTTCTATCCACCATCGAATTTGCTCATCCCAGGCTTCCGGGTTATTGCTGTAGTCGCTTAGCGTCATTTTGCCATTTGACAGTTTCCACTGCTCTGAAACAGACGTATACCACGAATTTCTTGCGAAAGTTACTTTTGCAAGTGACGCCCTGGCTGTCCATATTCCTGCTAACTTAATTCGCAATTGTTCAGCTAAAAAAGATCAGCTGAAAATTTGACCACTTAGATTTTATTGTCTGCTGCTTCTATAAAAAAAAAAAATGAAATTTACAACAAACAATAAAATTGGATCGTTTCACAATAACAGTTTCATTAAGGATTACAAGCTAAATTTTAAGAAAATGCAAATTTTTACAAAAGAAACTTCAAACTGCATGAAAAGTGTTGAAAAATTTTAAACAATATTTCGATTTTTTGTTGTTGATTAAGGTACAGAGAGAAGTTAACGTCAACAGGCCGTAGCTTCACCAGTTAGCAAAGCTTTTGAAAAACCATACCATACAGTGCATATTCTTCGGAAGTTGAACCACTAAGCATAGGTAAGTCGCGCCATTGCATCTCGGAAGGAAAACCAGTAAATAGTTCATTATCTATTACAGCATTCCAGCGAAATGTCTGAATATCACCATGTCAACATCCGTAATATACAACCACTAAATGGTAGATAAAAAAATCATAATTTATTAGAAGCAGTAGAATAATATCACTTCGATATCATATGCCGATATTTGTGAGTGATTTAATACAGATACGCATTGCAGCATGTCTTTGACTTTCCGATCTGTCCAACCATTCCTAGCATTTATATTGCAGATCTGTAACACTCTATATTAAAGTCATTTGTCGGTTTCACAGTAACGAGAAGATTATTTGACTATGGTGTAAGGATAAATTCCAGATGAATTTATTTGTATAATTTAATTAAACGATTGAAATAAACTTTATAAAACATACTTGTTCAGCTCTATCTAACGAAGTGGTAAATTCGCCATAAACTTTCTCGAAGCATATTTCTGCTGACGCGCTCATCATTATTATTTGACTGAGCAAACCTTAGAAAGCCAAACATCAGTTTAACACTGTAAATACTTCAGAAAAGTTGGTTGCTTTTTTCTGAATACATCTGCTACAGACAAAAACTGACTGTTTTAGTTTGAAAATTCAGTAGCTGAGTTTACTGGAACCTGGATTAACTGATGGTGAAAGAGCAAGATATGATGCACTACATGCACCTGCAGAATGGCCGATAACAGTAACCCTTTTAGGATCACCACCAAAATTATCAATTTCTTCATGTATCCACTGGAGCGCAACAATTTGGTCATGTAGACCACGATTTGGAGGAAATTCTTCTGTAAACGTTGTAAAGAAACCTGCAAAGAGCCGGTAAAAATCTTTTTTATTTCTTTGTATGGTTATAAAAAACTCTTCTTACACTTACAGAACTTGTAATTGTAGTTTCAAAGTAAACTTTTCTTTTAATTTCATTCTTACTGAACTTAAAAAGGAAAATATGAAACGTTTTTTTTTTTATTTTACGGGTTTATGGAGGACAAAATGAAGGTTTTCGCTACTGTTCTGCCTTAAAAACAAAGAAGGAGGTAAAGATGTTTGTCATTTTTTTGCTTCATATGAGAACAACATCAAAAGACTTTTCATTCCATGGGTCAGGAAGAGAAAAAGAAAATCATCTGCCCATTTCTATAACTCAAGAAAAAAAAATTTGAAAAAATCTTCCATTTCTATTTTGCAGAAAAGATAATGCCAAGAGATTTGTCAATTCTGTATTTTACGAAGGAAAATTTAAACAGGCTGACCAATGCTGCCTTTTAGATGAGGTACATTGAGGGGTTCACAATTTCTGCAAAATTAGAAAGAAAATTTTTCAAAAAAGCAGTTCAAACAGATTCTAGACGACACTCGTTAAAACAAGTTTGCCACCTAACCATGGAATCCAACTCGATAGTTAATTGAAACCCATATAACACCACGCCGAACTAAGTTGCTGATGATTCCGTGATACATCCACATTTCAGCTTCACCTGTCGTAAGAGCTCCACCGTAGAGGTATACCATAACCGGGTATTTAGTGACTTTGTCACTTGTCTAAACTGTGCCTTTATAGCAAACATATTTCAGACAAATTGAACAGAACATAGTAAAAGAAAATGCCGTACAATAAAATTGGTTTCAAAAAAAAGGAATATAAAAGCAAGGCAAAAATGCTGTCTAACATTTGGAGCATATATATTCAAGGTTAAACAATCTTCTGATACTTCAACGTCATTTGGCCGTGGAAGTACTTCTTCAGCTTTCTGAGGGCATATGCTGCTAAATTTATTAGCTTCTATTGTTTCATCGTATTTGCCAATAATTTCACTTTTCTGCAAAGCAGTTTCCTTTTTATCATGGCATCACTGCTGTACAGCAGTATGACTACATTTTATAATAAATGCAAAGTGTGGCCAAGTGAAAATAATTATGCGACAAGTGACGAAAATCAGAAGAAAGAAATGAACCAAAAAAAAAGTGACGAATTTGGTCACTAAAAAAAAGAGAAGCGAATGAGAACACCGATTTCCTCCCACTTGCCCTCACTTTATTGCAAGAATTTTTTTATTAATGCCTGATATTTGGCATGCAAAATACTTGTTGTGGAGCTAATAAAATATGCAATAATGCTGTTCTTCAGACTGCAAAAATTTATAAGCAGTATTGATGTTTTAGAAAAAGAAACAGCAGTAAGGTTTATAACCGATAAATGAGTATTTTGACTAAAAATTCCCACTAATTTAGTGACGTAAGTGAATAAGCATTTTGTTTCAAAAATTAGCTGTAAGTGAACACTGCGTTTCCAGTAACACAACTTTTTTGACCCATGTTAAAAGTTATCAATCACTACTGTTCTCAGTACAAAGTCTAATCCTTTTTGCCATAAAAATTTGCGGTGCACAGAAGAAAAAAGATGAACAGTGAAAAAATAGTAAAAAAAACTAAAAACACATAAAAACTGGAGCTTAAAGTTCAAACTTTTACGATTATCATTTCCCCGCAATCGGTAATTACATTAAAGAAAATCCACTACTGTAACTGTTGTTAGGTCTCTCATGAAGAAATAATTGAAAGATAAGTTTTGTTTAGATATTATAGCAAAACTATTTATGCATATAAAATTAATAACTAATAACAATTCTCCTCAGCAAAAGTAACAGTCAATGCTTAGAAAACAACCTTAAATTTTCGTTCACCTATTGGAGGAATCGCATATGGTATACCAAGAAAAACGTCAGCTTCTCCTTGATAAAAAGTGTTACTTGCGGTATTATCAACATGAAATCCCCGAATATCTCCTAAAATATAATTGTACTGATTAGGCAAAACGTTAAGAGCTGAAGAAAGAACTAAACGTTCAAAAAGTTCTTTTTTTTTTAGAACACTATAATGCTCTAAAAATTCTTATCAATGTTGAGCACCCCATTTAGCAAAATTTTTGCGATAAATCTTTTCATAACTACAATTAACGATTCAAAAAATGAAGGAAAGAACAATTTGTTGCTTTAATTTAGCACACCTCTGCTTATTTTTACAGTGATACGTTCGGTCTCAAGTTCACTCTGCTGTATCTGTGTTGTTTGTCTGACCACAGTCGACATCACCGACAGCAGTATCATCAAAAAGAACATTCTGCTCGACGTCACCAAAACAAGAAAAAAAAAAGATGTAGCACTGCAGGTGAAAAGTTGTAATAATTATTAAAAAATAATCAATTGTAATTAATAAAAGCAATAAAGTTATAGCTAGGCAAGTCCTTTCACACAATTTCTACAAAGTTTTCAAATTTATTATCACGATAGAATACGATAAACTGTGTTTTTCAAAGCAACAATGCTGCAGTAGCTGAACAGAGGAACTTATTCCCCATTGTTATACCATTTTATCACTATAAAAATGTGGAAATAAATTCCTCTGTCCAGTTTTACAAAAAAAAATAAAATATTTGTAAAGTACGATTTCAAATTATAATTAAAAAAAAACTGAAATGCAGATACCTGAAAACAGTATTATAAATTGTTTCTAAACAACAACAAAAAAAGAATTGCTTTTAAAAATTGCCAAAATATTATTATGTTAAACCAAAAATAATTTGGTAAATACAGAGGGCAACAACATGTATGACAAATACTATTGTAAAAATTTTAGCACCAAAGATTTCTTTAAACAATGTAAACTGAATAAAAAATTGCTCAAAAAATGCGTTGTTTAATTCATTCTTAAATTATGTTTAATTTTTAAAACTAATAGTTCTCTAAACTAGAAAAAAAAAAAAGGTAAAAAGAATGAAGTTTTTCTTACACTTCAAAAAACGTTGCTTTCTTCAGCCTATCGCAGAAACTGTTCAATAAATTGGGCTTTTTGGTTACTAAATAAACTTTACAAATTCACAACAAACAATAACGATATCCGTTAAACATAACACCTCGAAAACAAGAAAACAAAACCCAAGTATTATAGATCAACGCAGTGCTGAAAACTGAGAAATCTGATACTTCCGCTGTTTAGATTGAAAGCCAAAGATATGCGATTACCAAGTCTATAAATTGTCCCTCCGATATGTTTTGTTGTTCAAAGAATAAGAACCTTAAAAAGATATATAACAATGAAAATACTTTTACCAGAGGCCTTGCAGCATTCAGTGCAAAAATTATTCTCCCCCCCCCCCTTCCCACCTCACCACACCCAACGGCAGCACCTCTCCATTTCCTTTTTTGGTACTTAAGTAAATTCTTTGAACAACCAAGAAAAAAGAAATAAGAAAAGAAAAAAAAAACAAAGTAAAGCAAAATAAACACACAAACATCAAGAATAAAAATTCATATTCAAGAAATCTGTCAAGTAAGCAGCATAATTTGCTAACTGCAAATATCAAAACAATTTATATCGAAACTTCTCAATTGTACCCTTCAAATTCATAAAACAATAATAATTTTTCTGTAAAAAGGATAAAAAATAAACAGATAAACAGAGTTTTAACAAAGACTATTCAAATCAACAAATAGTTCAGTATAATTAGTCAATTTTCTTTTTTTTTTTCTTTTCGCTGATGTTCACTATGTCAAATAAAGTGGTTTAGTTGCTGCAAAAATAATTTAAGAAAACTAATGAAAAAAAAATGCACATAAATTTTTGCTCTCCTTCCTTTCTGTGAAATATGTCAAACATTTGTTGGTTAGAAGTTTTTATAATACTAAAAATTAGCGTTCCTTTTTGAAATAATTATTCTTATAAGTTCTTAAGTCAGTAATCATTATCTGGCAGAGGCTCAGAAACAAAAATAAGTGTCACTTTAAAATATCAGAATATCCAAATAAAAACCATTTTTAACTATTTTATTTGCAAAAAACAGGAAGAAAAAGAAACAAACAAGTAACTTTAAAATTACGAGTTTTGTAAGTTTGATTAACGTACAGTCTCATAGAAATAAGCTATTTGAAATTGCAGCAGTATTTTTTGAGAATGTTGACCCCATAATTCTTGTGCTGCTACACTAAACTTGGTGTATCTCTGAAATTCCAGAGGACAGAAGTAGTGTTCAGAGCGCTCTTTATCAAATTTTCTTCACAAAGATAAGAACGGTCTTTGAAAAGCTGAGGAAAGTCTTATGCTCAACAAACCGCTACAAGACGTCCTCAGAAACATTGTAAGGCACTTTGAAAACAGTTTCTTGGCCTTTCAAAGATAAGCGATTGACAACACCGAAAAAGGCAATTAAATTTTTGGGTCACCCCACTAATCAGTAAAACATCTCACTTCTGAATAATCTTAAAAATCAAAGCAAATTTAAAATATAATATCCTGTAAAATTGACTCTTGATATCTTTTATGCTTATTGTAACCCTGTCCCTCAAATAGTTAAGGTCCTTCTCGGTTTAAAAATCTTTTTTCGTTATCACAAGGCTAACGTAGTTTATTGTTATTTAATAAATTTTTCCGAAATGCTTTAAGAAAGCACTCCAAATAAAGCTGAATCTATCTGCTTTTGTTCCGCTGAAGTGTTTGGAGATTAATAACAGCAGCAGTAATTCAGCATCGAACAGAACAAAATTTGAATCTTTTCTCTCAGTAAAAGAAATATCCCATCAAAATCTTTCATTCTGCTGGTTCTCAAAAGTACGGCAAAAAATCATTACGCTTTGCCACCACCTAAAAATTATAGATATTTTTCATTTTACATAAAGTGGCTCGAATAACGTAAAAGTTATGCGAAAACTGAACTTAAACTGAACTTAACAAGATTGTCCGCAAAAGAATGAAGCAGTTTTTTCTTTTTTCACCCTCGCAGTTCCCAGACCCTCGCCTCATCTCCTTAATCTTCGTGTTTTAACATTGCCATGAAGCAAAAAAAAAGGAAGAATGAATATTATCAATTATTTCTTTGCAACCAGTCAGAGAGCTAATAAAAGTGTAAACAGAAAGTAAAACTGATACCTAATTAGGAAGTAAACCATGATGGTTCTCGTTCTGCTTGAGCAGTACTGCCATCAAGTACGACGAATTACTGCTTCATTTCCGTCTAATTGGCTTAATCAAGCTCTATTTTTCTAGCACTTTAGCGGTGCTTTATGACTACAAGTACCAATAAGTTAACTGAATCCAAAAGATCTTTTATATCTGCCGCCGAAAAATTTGTGTAAAGTACCGAACGTTTCTAGAAACTCAGCATCTTTCTCTTTCAGACTCATTCTTCGCATATTTACTGGATTAGCAGCATTTTACTTCACCGACTGCCATTAAAACCTACCAAAAACGGTACCCTCTTGCAAATCTTCAGCTGTGGGTACACTGCTTATTAACACACTGCTTCAAGATACATAAACGAAATTCCTTGTAAGCCATTCCACATTCTGCTAACAAGTCAAACTGCTGTAAGATTTTTTTTTGAATCATTCAAATTTTAAAGAAATGTAGTCGAAACGATTAAACTTTTGACTGTCGCTTAAGACAGTTCTCAGGCATCGCGTTTTGCAAAAGTTTTTCTTTAAATATCGACTAAACGTTTCACACTAAAACTGATATTGAGCAAAACCAACTTATTATGGAATTTTTAAAACTTTTAATTGCACAAATTGCTTACCCATAAAAGACAAAAAACTAGCTCAAAACATTCCATACCCAACCCTAAATTTTTTGATTTCAACAACTGACTAATTTAACTTTGAAAACTTATCACCAGAACAAGAGAAGAAGCAAACTCCCAGTAATTTCAAAAGCCTACTTTTATAACTCATAGTCACCATCCATAACAAATATTTGAAAGAAAAAATTTTTTATATCACTAAGAGGAATGCTAATGAATCTTTTATTTTGTTGAAACATTTACATCAGGAAGCAGCTCTACAAAAAGCGAGTTTTCTTTGCTGAGAAACGTTAACAACTAGTAGAAATTTTGAACAGAAGAATTTTTTGAGCCCTTAGTGCGCAGAACCATAATTAAACCCAATGAAGTTCCCAAATCTGTTACTTTTTACGAAAGTCACTGTACTTCTTAACAGTACATGATGCCAGTGGCCGTTCCAGTTACTCATCTGCACCAAACAAGACGAAGAAACAGGACTCCTTAAAAACACTAATTCAGTCGACTGGCCGTGCTCAAGTGGGAAACGGCAAAAATTCCACTTTTTTCCAACCAACAACCTGTCATTCGGTGACTAAGCACCTATGTCAAGGGAATAACCATTCTTAAGCTAGCAGTTGCTGGAAATCGTAAGTAGAAGATAAAAGAGGATGAAACACATTTTTTGCCCCCACCTTTCCACCCACCGCCCGTGGTTTAAAACCAGTTCCCGGTATACGTTGTCTGCCCTTTTTTTCTTTTGCTCTTCCAGCTAAGAAAGAAAACGACTTGGGCTTATCGACTGTGAGATGGAAAACTCCAGCGTAATTATTACAGGCAAAAGAACGACGATATTCCTGCACCTCATACACTTCTTGCAAATCTAAACCAGAGCAAAAGTTTTTATGAGTGTAAAGACATGTTTGATTTATGTTAGAGCCCTCGCCATTACTGCCTTGACTGTTTGCCTGTTACAAAATCATTTTGACTTCCATCAAACTTGCTCATGCAGGTCTCTACCTTAATCTCATTACAGTTTAGCGTCATTTTTACCAATCTGTTGTTCTGAATGTTCATAGATAACAACATCGATCTAGAAAATTAACTCTGTAAACAAGAACCAGTCTTTGGCGTTGGTGGTTTTAGATTCCTGCCAAGTGACTTTAGAATTACTGAGGAAATGACAAAAAACAAAAAACGCTGAGAACTTTTTTATTCCCATTGGCATACAAAATGGTAAAATTGAGTTCTGATTACATTGAATAGAAGGTGACGCACACTGTGAGAATAAAATCCGAAACCTTGGACAAACTACACCTGTATGAGAAAATGCAAAAATAAAAGAACTCTTGAAAATAATTAAATTTCTTTCTCTAAAGCTCAAAACGAAGCTATTTTCGGGATATACGCTAGAAAACTGAAGAATTATCTGTCGTCTAATGTAATAAAATCAAACCACATCGTACTGGGGCTTTTCATACCCTGAATCGCATCAATTTTGAGCATAATTTACTTCAAGTCAGAATAATTATAGCAATATTA